CAAAGGAGGTGGTTTTCTGGTTATTTTCTGGTTATTCAACAACAACCTTTAAACTGTGAGTGATGAGGTAGAGCGGGGGATTTCCTGTGTGAAACACAAATCAAAAAGTGGTTTGCACGAAACCCTGAACCTATAACAGGATCGCATTTTGGAAAGGTAAACCTCAGCTCCAGCTGGATCCAGGAGACAACCCTGCACAGTGGTCTCTCCATGTTTTTGAGTTCCACTGTTGGGGATTTTGGCTCTTCTGAGAAAACCTGTGGTTCTTATGACTCAGTTACCCTGAACAAAGATGACTCTTTCAGCTCCATTTATAGCTTAAACTCATTTCTAAACAAAAATAATCTGTATAAAATATGTGTTCCTTATATGGCCAAGTACAGCATATTCAACAGTGAAGAATTGAATACAAAAATCGAATTAATTTAAAAATACAAAAACACATCATCAACACAACATCCCATCAACAGAAATCTAGAAAAGTACAAAAACTAACATCCCATCAACAGAAATCTAGAAAACACACAATATAGACCCAACTATGAAAACACATCATTCTGAATAATTATATATTAAAAAAAAGAAACTAATACTAATATCCCTTGTAATAATGTACTAAACAGAGTAAAAGTCTACAAATCTGCAGCTCTTTGTTTAGCTAATAACAAGTGGTATTACCATATTGAGGTGAACTCTATGCTGAGCCACATTTCCTAGGCCTATATATATGTATACACACACACACACACACACACACACACATATCCTTTCAGACACAATTAAGAATGTCTCTCAACGCTCGTCTCCTTCATGTTATTTTTATTCTGCTGCTGCTAGTCATGTGTAAATGTGCCTTTTGGATTTGTAATTTTAATGCTCGTGGGCTGCATGATGCTTAATGGCTTACAGAAAAAAAAAACCTGGTGAGTATATAAGCCTTTCCAGCTCTGAAAGGTTTAATCCAGCCATTATCTGCAGTCAGACACTTTTTCTGGCACACTGCAAACATTTGAGTGCTTTAATGTCGCGAAACCTGGTCTGCACTGAAATGTCGACAAATCGATAAAATGTTAGCTACAAAGGTCCAACCTCTACAGATCTAAAATAGTGAGAGCTGCAGTCGTTTGCGTTGACATGAAGTTTTTCACAATAAAACTTATTTTAAGATGTATAAACTCCTGACCATCACTGAAAATCTTAATTAGGCCCATCAGCACACAGAGAGGTAGGAAGGAGGGCTGGTCTGATGGCACCTGCAGCAGAACATGAGGACTCTTCCATGGAAATGGTATTCTGATGGCTGTGGCCCACTTTGGAGGGATAATCCCTAGATTTCACTCCAGTTAAACATCTGGGCGATGTGCTTGATAAACTAGTCAAGTCCAATGAAGCCCCAACATGCAGCCTACAGGACTGACACAAGACTGACATAAGATGTGGCTCTGGACTGGTGTCATCACACCTGGCAGCCAATGAGAGCTTTTAAGGTGGGATCAGAGATTGCTGCAGCGCTTATATGAACAAAAAATTGAGAAAGGTGCTAAACTTGATTTTTGCATTAATTTTAATCCGATGTACATTGTTGACATTGCTTCTTACTTCAAGTGTGAAATGGCACTTAAAATGCAGTTAGTTCATGCCAGCAAATCACTTTAGGAAGCACAAAGCACCTTTTTTCTTTAAAATGTTTGAAAACCAAATATGTTTGCTATGTTATTAGTATGCAATGCACCTATTTAAAAAAATACATGCATAATTTTATTTGAGAACAATTCTATGATTTGTATATATATAATGTATATATTACAGTATATAATTTTTTATATATTATTTTTTCTAATTAAACATAACTTTCAGAATTCAGATTAGAGGTTTAAGGGACATTTGTGTCCCTGGTTTAACAGTTTACAGCAGTTTGCAGCAGCAGTAGCAGCTGTAGCAGCGGTGACTGCTCACTACAGTAGAAATACTACAGCAGCCTCCGGTTACAAACTTTGGACCAATCAGAGCAGAGCTCGGCTTTTCAGCAGAACCACCAGAGGAAGAACTTTATCCTGGAGTCTTTCCACTGTTTCTCTGTCTCTTCCTGAACTGTTAACTGTATTTGCACACGTACACCTACTGACAAATGTCAGCTCTCTGTCTGTCTGTGAAGGAAACGTCCTGTCAGTGATATGACAATGTTGGGGATGTATGTGCCTGACAGATTCTCCCTGAAAGCGTCAAAGGTCCAGGATGGCATCGGTCTGTTCACGGCGAGACGAGTGAAAAAGGTTTGTAGCTTCGCACCGTGGCCAACTTGGAAACAGAGCTTTTAAAACAGACTGTTGTAGTTGTTAACTTCTCAATCCTCGATTCGAGACATTTGTTTTCTCGTTATTTTGTAGTTCAAGCTGGCGGGACGTAAGTGCCACGTAGCTACGCTCTCTGCTTCACTATGTAGCGAGAAACCAAGGGAGGTGCTAACGTCACTTCCACACACGCTGACCTGCAAGTGGAAATCATAACTATATACACAAACATGTAGACGTGCATTATTTCCCTGTCGCGGACTACACGGAGAATCAGTCTGTGACCATACAGATATTCATGTCTTAGTCATGTAGAGGCGTGTCAGCGGGGGTGGGTCCTCAGTGTTTCATTGGAAAAAGGCAGTCGATCTGTTCTTGTCGTGAAAGTAATTGACTGTGTGCAAAAGTCTGATAAATAAGGACTGACTCTAATACATCAGTGGCAGTAGCAGGACATGTTAGTCATTGGTCACATTCATCTTCTACAGCATTGCCTAATACATTTGAAGGTCCAAGAACTCACACCTGTCCATCACAGGGCCACGTTGGGAGGCAAATCTTTCACACTCACATTTTTACCACTACCATAACCTTTGTGTTTTTTTATGATGACATTGAAAAGTGTGACCTGTAGTGAGGTCAGCTCCTTTGTGTAACTGATTGAATTCACCTGAACTGCACTATGGTGCCCAGAAAGCCAAAGCAACTGCAAAAGCTCGAAGCCAAAGAAAAATGTAATACAACATTGACAAAACAACACAAAAGACAACCGTCTTTTACAACAGACCATCCACGAATCATGCCTTATGTTTTATTTTACCATCATGTGATCCTAACTGCTTTAACTGTTTGTCTTTAAGGGAGAAAAGTTTGGTCCATTTGCAGGTGAGAAGAAACTTCCCACTGAGCTCGACAAAAGCTCCGACACAAGGTTGATGTGGGAGGTAAATGCACTCAAGGACAGACACACATAATATATGAGAACTGTTAGGCCATCACAGTACTTTTGTGCCACAAACTAAAAATCTAAGCATGCAAGGCAAAGAAACTGCTGAGGACAAAGTTTTGTTCACTGAGTTTTGTTGGCCAGCTCTGCAGAATTTAGGTGTGGAAATTCAGAAAGTACAAAGAGACAAAAAGACAAGGATGGCGATGATTTACAGTCTCATCAGCTGCTGAAAATATTTTGATATCATGTTGGTCGAAATGTTTTTATAGTAGATGATAGTTCATTCAGAGTCATACAACTGGCTCCAGCAAACAGATATTTCTGCAGTGCTCTAACTGAAGATAATTGTTAGACATTTATGCCATGATTCCACAAATTCAAATTGTGATAAAATAATTCAAAGCAGTTATACACTTTGTATGGAACGTATTCAGACACAAAATCATTTGCCAAAATCATTTAAATTCATTTTTTTCCTCATTAATGTACACACAGCACCCGCTATTGACAGAAAAACACAGAATTGTTGACATTTATGCAGAGGTATTAAAAAAGAAAAACTGTAGTATTCAGTTTTTCATACCTGGATTTGGGGATCCTCTGCCATTCCCCCTTGCAGACCCGCTCCAGTTCTGTCAGGTTGGAGGGTAAACGTTGGTGGACAGATCAGATCCCCTGATTGCTCAGTTTGGCCGGATGTCCAGCTCTCGGAAGGGTTCTGGTCGTCCCAAACATCTTCCATTTAAAGATTATGGAGGCCACTGTGCTCTTAGGAACCTTAAGTGCTGCAGAAATGACCTGTGCCTTGCCACAATTCTGTCTCCGAGCTCGTCAGGCAGTTCCATTGACCTCATGATCCTCATTTGCTCTGACATGCACTGTGAGCTCTAAGGTCTTATAAAGACTGGTGTGTGGCTTTCCTAATCAAGTCCAATCAGTATAATCAAACACAGCTGGACTCCAATGAAGGTGTAGAACCATCTCAAGGAGGATCAGAAGAATGAAGAGTGTCACAGCAAAGGGTCTGAATACTTATGACCATGTGATATTTCTGTTTTTTTATTTTAAAACATCTGCAAAAATGTCAACAATTCTGTGTTTTACTGTCAATTTGGGGTGCTGAGTGTACATTGATAAGCCAAAAAAACCCTTAAATAAATGACAAAGAGTGAAAAAGGGGGTCCCAATACTTTCTGTACTCACTGTATCAAAGGCATAGGTTGCCCTAAATGCAATTGCTTCAGATAAGATATAAAAGCAGGGCGACGTGAACAGACGATGTCTGCTGATAAACTGCTGCTGTGTTTGAAATGTTCATGTCACTGATGAAGGCAAAGCACAAAGTCACAGAATATCACATTACCGCTGGGGCAGCAGTGGGTGCAACTCCTGCATCCTGTGATGTCATTGATTTTTCTTTACGGATGCTGTTGCTGCAGAGTGAGTGGTTTACAGAGCGATAGAAAAACCTCCTTCAGAATACTTATTAATACAGCAGCTGTTCACATGTTTGCAAACTTATTCTCTGTTGTACCTGCGCAGACATCTGTACTGTATAGTTACTTATCTGCTAATGCTACACTGTGAGCTGCAGACTTGGACATAACCACAGTGTTTTTATATGTGGGACGATTTTTCTTGACAAATGAAAAAGGAAAGCATCAGGAGATGAGAGAGACAATTATTCGTTTATATCGTTGCCTTCTTGGTCCAGGTTCGAGGCAGTAAAGGAGATGTTCTGTATATCCTGGATGCTAGTAATCCACGACATGCCAACTGGCTGAGGTTCGTCCACCAGGCACCGTCACAGGAGCAGAAGAATTTAGCAGCCATTCAGGTTGGTTTCTGCTCTAATCAATGTTGACTTCCAGGTTTACTTGCTGGTAAATATCAAATCATGCTTTTTCATGTTGTTTTTCTTTGTTAACACACTCTATTTCCTGTTATAAATAACAAGGACTTTTTAAAAAAAATATATACCTTCAGTAAATCTAGGATTTGATAAATATAGTTTACTTTATGCAAATTTCTGCATATTGTTATTGCAACAATCCTAAAGAAGGACAAATATGGTCCAAAATATTCTAGGAAATTTTCCAATAATGCTGTTTTTTTTAGAAATGATGCATCATGGGTCGGGACCGGAGAAACTGTTCATTAGCTGTGTACGAAAATTAAGCCAGATATAATGTCTGGCACAAAATCTATAGAAAATCTAAATTATATTAATTTTTTTAACAAGAAACACAAATAGTGTCCTAAGTTTCTAATGTGTAAGAAAAATATATTGACCTGTCTCTGTCACAATTAAAAAAAAAGTTGCTGGTACCTATTGTTAATTTCTTGTTAATCTTGTTAATTTCTTAAGTTGGTCGATGAAAACAAAATTCTTTTGTATTTCTCTACTAAATTGCTGCATTAGTAAACCAGTATAAAGAGTTCATCCTGTTTAGATCTGCTGCTTTTTGACGGCCTGAATGTTTCTCCTCATGTCACAGGATGGAGAAAACATTTTCTACCTGGCTGTGGATGACATTGACACTGACACAGAGCTCCTGATTGGTTACCTCGACAGTGATATGGAAGAAGAGGAGGAGGAGGAAGAGGAGGACGAGACTGACAAAGAGGAAGAAGAAAACAGCAAAGAAAGCAAACATCTAGTAGAAACGGGTAAAAAAACAAAGGCTGCATATTGTCAGCATAGATATCAGGCAGCATATTCACTCTGGAGGGGCCACAGGACACATGCAGTTAGCACTCTTGGCTTGCAGCAAGAAGATAAATGGTTTGCTGGTTTAATCCCCGACCTCTGTATGTTTTTGTGGGCCTGTAGACCATGGGATAAAAAAAGAAGACCACCCCTGTTTGCTATGTGAGAGCAGTTTTCCCAGCGAGGAGATTTTGGCTGCTCACCTGCAGACTTTGCACCAGAGACCGAGCACTGAGGAGAAGGAGTTCAAATGCAGGAACTGCGGCAAAAAGTTTCCCATCAAACAGGCCCTGCAGCGACAGTGAGTCCCTATAAAAATACACACATCACTTCATTTACACTTCATGTACGGATGTGCTTCTGACTCTGATTATTTTTGATTCTCCCTCAGTGTTTTACACTGTTCGGAATCATTGGATCCGTCCGGGGATTCCAAAGCTCATCAGTGCTCACTGTGCCACAACACATTCAGCTCAGAGTTGAGGTAAGTTCTCTCACATCGCTCTGAACATCAGTCCTTAAAATGACCATTTCACACCTATTAATTCAACACTGAGTGAGTCGCCTCTCTTACTTCATTTTTCCTTCTTTCAACTGTATGCACAGTTTTGAGCAACATAAAGAAGCCTGTAAAGGAGACGCCAGGTTCATCTGCAAGGCTGACAGCTGTGGAAAAAGATTCAAAAGCAAAGACGCTCTAAAGAAGCATAAAGTAAATGTCCACACAGGTAATAATATTTCCATGCTTTCAGGGACTGGCAGGTAAGATATGTTACTTTCATTCGTCATAGTTCATGACTTTGATGAAGGTATAGTGGTCCAACAGCTCTTGTTTGGAGTGACGTTAAATTATAAAAGTTTAAAGTGGGAATGATTTGGAGGTTTAAAAACAAGCTGTTTAACCACAAATATAAACAATAACCATATATATTTCAACACCAAAGATTTAATGGTAAGTGGTTGATATTAATATTGTTTTTTGCTGTAGCCAAATACTGTACAAATAAGACATGGTCAGGACATGGTTGCGTGATTGCCTCTGGTGTCAATCCCAGACATTCAACTTTATTTGCTTTGGACAGGGAGTGCACGGCGGAAACTCACCTGCAGCATATGCAACAGGAAGTGCTCTTCGTCACTGAATTTACAAGAACACAGGAAGGTAAGACCATGATGTTGCAGCTTGGACAAATACATCTAGAGACTTAACAACAATGTGAGATGAAAACATCAAATGTCAGAAACCAGTTCTACTTAAAATTAGAAAGAGTGGCTGCTGCATGAAGATTATTCAAATGTCTGGTCCAGTGTGTGCAAGAAAGCCAGAGTCATGACAAAAAAAGTCCAGGCTTTTTTTATCTGTGTAAATCACACAGGGAACAAACTCTCTCCGTGGGTCTGCTGCAGGATTTGATGGATGATACATTGGTGCTTTTCAGCCTGCTGTTTCACCGCATACTTTCCTAGGACAATGTGGTCGGAAGGTGGCCAGTTATAATATTATATTATTATATTATAATATTCTGTATATGCTTTGTGAATTAGCCCTGCTTCTCCCAGACCACTTTGGATGTTTATTTTGGCTCCGTGTCACTAACAAGCACCTCCTCGGTGATGGCCGGTGTGCCGGCGAGTTTTCTTCTTGTTGCTAAAACAACTGGGCTGCTGTGTTGGTTCTGTGAATGTGCTGCATGTATGCACGCATGCAAAGCTTGTACAAGATAAAGTATACGTGAGTGTAAATTCAGTCCTACTCCAGCCAAGAGTAACTGAGTGTGACACTTTTATGGCTGAAATATCTAATGAAACTCCAGCCTATGTTTGTGGAGCAGCTTTTCAGGAGAATGTTTGAAGAGCACACACTGATTGCACTCTTCTCCCTTCTAGCCAAAAAGCCCCGCCTCTGTAACCTATGAATTTGTTCTCGACCTGTTCCTTGGTGTCAAGTGGAGAGTATTTGCTGGGAGGACAAAGCTCTGTTACTGACTACGTCATGTCTGAATCCCCAACCTCATTGTACAGTACATATAAAAAGTCACCTGTCAAGAAATAAACAAAGCGTCCTGGGTGTCGGTTTTCAGACGCTGTACTTTTTTCAGCTATCTCCACTAAAAGAAGCATCAATGGGTTTTTTTTTCCTCAAGGAGATTTTTTTTTGTTAATGCTCTTCCTGACGGTTGTGGAACTGCAAAGCTTCGACTTCGAAAAGCAGTTATCTATATGAGTTGGCTGAACGGCTGCACAGAAGGCAGCGTGCAGGGAAGGGAAGAAGGTCATGCACAGTGTGGTGGAGAACTGTTAATGCCTGACCAGTGCACCAGGCAGTGAGGCATTAGTCCTGATCAAAGCATATTTCAGTGGACATGTTGGTTAATGAAGCAGAAGTAATAGCAAAGCCGTTGGGATTGGGTTTTGCAAGGAACATATAAAGGTGTGTGAATGTGGATTCAACATACAATGAAGCAAGAGTCCACTTTATGAACGCTGGCCAGGGGGGAGTGAAGCAAAGCAGCACAGGACAGTGATGTGTGGGAGGATTATATTGAGAACAAAAGAGGACACAGGTCACTGTAGGTCCAAGGATCCAGTGACGAAATGGTGCAAATGTGTTGCAGTGTCGTTCAGGGAAGAGTGTGGACAGGCGTTAGGATAAGTGAGGAGATACAGAACAAACACAGACACAGACAGGGTGGTGAGGGAAACTACGGAGAGGTGTTCAGTGGCTTCAGAGCAAGGAGGAGCTGGTGAAGATACAGTTAACAGAAAGAGTCAGTGACACATGAAGAATGTAAAGGTCAAATGATTTAGTTTAAGGAGGATTTCTGAGCTGCTGCTATTCCCTGAGCCTTTAAGGCACCGGGGTGTAAAAAAATATCAATACACTGAAATAATACGATGATGTTCTACAGGACTGTATCAATTTTTGAATTACCATTTAACATGCATACATTAATGGTGTTGGTTCATTTTTGTCTTGTGTTGTATTTAAGACTTTGAGTCAAACATTTTTTTTCATTTGTTTATCAAAAAATTCCTGCAAGTGCTTCTAATTATTAATTATTCTCTAGAGATTACAAATGTAGATCCCTCTGTTCCAGTTTTAGTAATCTGATGTTAGGCCTGTAGAAAGGATGATGATAGACTATTTACATACAATAAAATGTAAATAAAATGTCTGTAAAAAATCCCTCAATATATCACCGTGCCTATAGTATTGCAGTATATCACAAAATATCATATGGTTGCCCCTGTATCATGATAAGTATTGTGTCGCCAGATTCTTGACTTCTGAAAATACCATAAAGAAAGGCAAAATGTTCAACCTTCATTGTCTCTTTTGTTGCAGGTACATGAAATATTCGACTGCCACGCCTGCGACAAAAAATTCATCTCTACCAATCAGCTGAAGCGCCACATGATCACTCACTCAGGTACAATAGTTCTCCCCTGAAAGCATTTCTCAAGTACTTTTACTTGACACTCCCACCGACGCACACCTCTCTTTGCTCACTCAGAGAAACGACCGTATACTTGTGAGATCTGCAACCGCTCCTTCAAGCGTTTGGATCAGGTGACGGCCCATAAGATCATTCATAGAGAGGACAAACCTTACAAATGTAAGATGTGTGGGAAGGAGTTCGCTCACCGCAATGTCTACAAAAACCACAAGAAGGTAATGGCCTGGGGAAAAAACATGTCTTTCTCACTCTCTCTTACAAAGAAAGCAGCATTTTAATCTAATTTGAACTCATTTCTGTTGAAGACTAGATCAATGGTCTGCCCACACTGTTAGCCTGTAACAAGACAGACTGTCTCATCAGTGTTGGGGTGATGAAGCAGGATTAGGGAAACTTAGAATGGAGAAATTAAATGTGTTTTAATGACTTATATTGTCTCTAATTGCACTGTGGGAGGAAACCAGAGAACCTGAAGAAAACCCATACTGACACTGGGAGAAAACACGGGGGAAGAACCAGCTCAGGCTGTAAGGCCAGAGCCTTTAACTCTCCCTTCACTGTGGCCCAAGGTGTAGTTTATGGGCTGCTATCTCTTGTGCGTTTACCCATGACATTATTGGCTACATTATGGGTTTTTAATAGAGCTTTTCACATTACAATAGGTTTAAACATGATGACTGGTAAATCACTTGTAAAAATAATTTATGTTTATGGTCTTTTGTGTATACTCCTATTTTTACCTTTGTGAGTATATATTTTTACTAAATGTTGATATTATAGCTACTGATGTGTTATTTCTCTTATTTTTTAATATTTCTAAGCATGTTTTTGATTTGTCTTTGTTTAAAAGAACCCACAGACCTAAATCCCCCACATCCACATCTGGCCCCTCACAGTGTTTACTTTTGGGATTCAGGTGTCACCCTGACAGACTGTAGGTCACCAATGAAAGAGAGGGAGGATAGAGGAGAGGGACCAAAAAGACCGGGAACACTTTGAACCTAAAGCCTCACGAGTTCCTTTGTTCTCATCAAGTCAAAATACTAAATTGGCTGTGGATTATTTTTTATTACACACACACACACACACACCTTCATACTCTAACTCCGGGCGGGTTGTGTTTCTGCAGACGCACTCAGAGGAAAGACCCTTTCAGTGCGAGGAGTGTAAAGCCCTGTTCCGCACCCCCTTCTCTCTGCAGCGCCACCTACTCATCCACAACAGTAAGTTTTAGTGTCTGTTTCACTTGTGTGTTAAATTGTGAACTTAAGTGCCAACAATAACAGACTCGGTATATCACTTTAATTTTACAAAGTTATGTTTTATTGAGTCAATCGTCCCACTGTTTGTCTCCTCAGTTGTTTGTGTTGTGTTTCTCACAGCGAGAACAAAAACACAACTGAAATTTCACACTTCATGGATGTTTAGCTGAAATTGTTCTCAGACCATCATCGTGTCATAGAACTGCTCAAAGTGTCCGCTGCTGTCTGTGCCTAAGGTCCAGCAGGTAACAGAATTATGAACAGAACAAACTTTTCTGTCCATCCATCCATTTATCCATACTTCTAGCCCCCATCCTCCCCCTCCCTTCCCTTTTCCCTCCCTTCCTTTTTATCCTGTCAAGGGTCATTGGCAGAGCTGCAGTCAGTCCCACTGGTCATTAGGCAGAGGCAGTGCACTCCCTTGACATGTCACCAGTTAATGACAGGACCACACTTACAGAAGAACAAGCATTCACGCTGACATTTACACTCAGTGCCTCAGTTACTTTACCTTAAATCTACATGTTTTCAAAATGTGGTGGGACTGGAGTACCCAAAGAACCCTCCCACCCCCCACCCCCAACACATGTGTAGAACACACAAACTCAATAAAGAGAAGCTATCTGTAAAAGCAGGTTCGCAAACTGCTTGAACATCTTGCTGCCAGGGTTTGGTTTTAAAAACAAATTCTTTGTAAACAATGTTCCACTGCCCCCCTCTCATGTGATGCACAGGCAGCTAAGTCTGCAGAGCAAAAGCAGATGTTCCACTGATGCCGTCTCTGCTCACAGGGTCCTCTGTATTCTTAACAACAACAACATAATATCATTGTCTTTTGTTTAAACTGATGGTTTGGGTTTAAGTTGCACTTTGAGAGGTCACTGGTGGATTAGAAAAAAAAAAAGAAGAAATACTTTGATTCATTTATGAACAGGTCCACTAGCTCCAAAACAATATGGTTTTTAAAAAGCCAAAGCTTCACTGATAAAACACTAAAATGACATTACATAACCAACATGACTGAAAACCAACCATAACGTACTCTGTACAGTGTGTCACTCTTTACAAAGTCATTTAATAATTAAGTATTATTTTAATTGTGGAAAAGCCTGACTGTCTGGGGTCAAACATTCAGACGTTAGTGCTAAATTGGCTTTCTCACTGTAAGAGCTGCAAAATGCAATATCATTGTTTTAAAAGATAGAGCAAAGCTAAGCGCAGCTATATCTCATTTAGATAGGAACCTGAAACAATAGATGTAGGTGTAGGGTGTCTACTGATGTGCAAGTTCAGCATCTATTATTCAAG